AGAACTACCAATCACTTACTGTGGTTCTGTGGCAAAGAGAATTCTATCGCTAACGTGTAGGTAGAGCTGCACAAAGTAATTGAAGCGCCTGCCTGCGTAGGCACCCTACCTTTACTATATACTTCATAGGTATTTGTATGCAGTCAAGCCAGAGTAGGTACATAAAGGAACAATATATAGGTAGAATCAGGTAGGTGGTCGCAAGTGAGACTGCCGAGCAAGGGGTTTCGGGTTCGATTCCCGGGTCGGGCAAATTATTACAGGGTTTTTAAAAATCTCAGTAGTAGCACGGAGTCTGGAAATGTGCCCGGTATATGGCAATAGGCTCACCCCCTATTACATGGGACTCATAACATAAATTGTGAAAAGTGGGTGTTACCTACATTGTACAGTGGCATTAAATGCCGTAATGTGCACCTCTGCCTACCCCTTCGGGGATAAAAAGGCGTGATGTTATGTTAATCAGGTACCTAGGATAAGTAAGTATCGCTATCGCAGTTAGATGCATCTTGAATTCAAGGTCAATAAAAGTTAGTTAAATCCTTATCCTTACTAATATTATAAATCTGAAAGTGAGTTTGTTTGTTTGTTCCACCGTCACGCCGTAACTACTCAACCGATTGCTTTGATTTTTTACAGACGTAAAGTTAGAAGTCCGGATTAAATAATAGGGTACTTTTTAACCCGGAAAAATTGATATTCCCGAGGAAAAACAAAAGTATTCGTATAGATGGCGCTGTGTGTATTAGTATATGTCACAATCACATAGGCTACTTTTTATTCTTTTGTGACGCGAGCGAAGCCTCGGGTAAAAGCTAGTAAGATATATTTCAAAGAAACAGAGGGCTTAGTACGAGTTTGTTCTACGTTTAAAGTAATCGAACGAGAGCGAGTTCAGCGCACTGATTGGTTGGTTCATTGGAGCCGGCCAATCAAGGCCTCAGCGTAGGTTACCTTGATCTACTGAAGCGCACATTAACTACATTCATAATTTTACTAGTATCACATCACACTAATATTATTGAATTGGAAGTTTCTTAGTTTGTCTGTTTGAGTGTTTGTCTTTGAACGGTATTTGATGAAATTTGATGCACAGGCAGAGTATGGGCTGATTCAGGTGATAGGAGTTTTTATCCCGCTTAAATGCTCCCATGAGATAAAACCGGAATCATATTCTACGTGGACGAAGTCGCGGGCAACAGCTACTTATATTGCTTATTAATTAGTTAGTATGTGAAAACTAAACACAGATTTTACTTCACAACTGCACTTTATCTTGATTGACTTTGGGGGAAAATCATCAAATGACTGCTCCCGCCTGGGTGAGGCGGGAGGGAGTGTCAGACTCTTACTGACTAAAAACCACCCCGTTCCTTCTCCTGCACGTCGAGTCGGAGCCCCGGTTACCCGTTAGGTTCTCCGCGACAATAAACATATTCTTTCGACGCATAACCGCTGTCATAAATTCGCGCCCTTTTTTCAGTGTTGCTACGCACAACCATAACACAACATAAACCATAGACAATTTTTCTATTGAGGTCAATAAGAGGTCGGAATGTTTAGAACAGGGGCAGATTTCTTCTCGTATAACACATAGGTGATGCCATTGGCAAAAGCTATTATAGTTACTTTATTTACCTACATACATTTACTTATAGATTTTGTGGCAGTTTATTCTCAACATGGTCACGTAGTCATCGGATTCCCCGCGGCATTTCATTGTTAGTGATGGGCCATAAACACGATCAAGAGTTCGATAATTAAATGATAGTGGCGCGACCTTATAAGGTAGATAATAGTTCGGTACATACCTACTTACATACATACATAGTTACTTGTGTACTTGTAATCGCTCTTCTATTAGCCAGCGAGGACATACATATGATGACGTTGGCAATGTCAATATGACTTTAGTAGATAACTAAAATAACTGTAATTTGAAGAATAGCACACAATATACGGGTATAAATGGGGCTGTCGGTAGAGGGCACCCTAGACGAACATATACTGAACAGTTTGGTGATTATATTAAAGAAGGGCCAATTTAAAATTAGGTACCCTTAACCGACAAGCATACATGAAAGATTGATGACTGTTGACAGGGCCGGATTTAGGGGGGGGCAACCGGGGCGAAAGCCCCGGGGCCTCCAAAAGCAGGGGGCCTCCACAATAGAGACTTCGGAAAGAAAAATCTTTCAAATTTCAAACCATTCATTTCAAAGTAAACCTAGTAAACATCTTTTCTTTGATATTTTTTTTTTCGCTTTTACCTTTACCTACAGCCTAAAGTACTTTATATATACATGATTATTTGATTATATTATTTTAAATTTTATTTTAAAATTAAAAAAATTAATTGCAGTATGTGAACAATTGGTATTCTTCAATTCTTAAACTCGAAATCTGACGAGCGTCCTCGAAATCTATCGAGCATCCTCGATCGTTTTCGAGCGTCCTCGATTGTTTTCGAGCGTCCTCGAAATCTATCGAGAGTTCTCGATCGTTTTCGAGCGTCCTCGATTGTTTTCGAGCGTCCTCGATTGTTTTCGAGCGTCCTCGAAATCTATCGAGCATCCTCGATCGTTTTCAAGCGTCCTCGATTGTTTTCGAGCGTCCTCGAAATCTATCAGGCGTCCTCGAAATCTATCGAGCGTCCTCGAAATCTATCGAGCGTCCTCGAAATCAATCGAGCGTCCTCGATCGTTTTCAAGCGTCCTCGATTGTTTTCGAGCGTCCTCGAAATCTATCAGGCGTCCTCGAAATCTATCGAGCGTCCTCGAAATCAATCGAGCGTCCTCGATTGTTTTCGAGCGTCCTCGAAATCTATCGAGAGTCCTCGATCGTTTTCGAGCGTCCTCGAAATCTATCGGGCGTCCTCGAAATCTAGCATACTCGATCGTTTTCGAGCGTCCTCGAAATCTATCGAGAGTCCTCGATCGTTTTCGAGCGTCCTCGAAATCTATCGGGCGTCCTCGAAATCTATCGAGCGTCCTCGAAATCAATCGAGCGTCCTCGATTGTTTTCGAGCGTCCTCGAAATCTATCGAGAGTTCTCGATCGTTTTCGAGCGTCCTCGAATGTTTTCGAGCGTCCTCGAAATCTATCGAGTCCTCGATCGTTTTCGAGCGTCCTCGATTGTTTTCGAGCGTCCTCGAAATCTATCGAGAATTCGATCGTTTTCGAGCGTCCTCGATTGTTTTCGAGCGTCCTCGAAATCTATCGAGAGTTCTCGATCGTTTTCGAGCGTCCTCGATTGTTTTCGAGCGTCCTTTGAAATCTATCGAGAGTCCTCGATCGTTTTCGAGCGTCCTCGAAATCAATCGAGCGTCCTCGATTGTTTTCGAGCGTCCTCGAAATCTATCGAGAGTTCTCGATCGTTTTCGAGCGTCCTCGATAGTTTTCGAGCGTCCTCGATAGTTTTCGAGCGTCCTCGATAGTTTTCGAGCGTCCTCAATCGTTTTCGAGCGTCCTCGATTGTTTTAGAGCGTCCTCGAAATCTATCGAGAGTCCTCGATCGTTTTCGAGCGTCCTCAAAATCTATCGGGCGTCCTCGAAATCTATCGAGCGTCCTCGAAATCAATCGAGCGTCCTCGATCGTTTTCGAGCGTCCTCGAAATCAGGCGAGCGTCCTCGATCTCAATCTGAAAAATAATTTGGGGCAAGGGGGCCTCCACTCCTTTGTTGCCCCGAGGCCTCTGGACCCCTAAATCCGGCCCTGACTGTTGATGAAGCGAAAGAGGTATGTCATGTAGGAATCTTAGAAACTAGTTGGCGTTCCATAGTCTCTGCTTATCCCCCATGGGAGACAGGCGTGAAGTTATGTATGTATGTATGTAGCACACAATTCTACAATATCTATATTGTGGAATTGTGTTGAATTATATTTTTTCTATATCAGCAATTCATATCGAAACACTATTTACATAGGTACCTACATGTATTAGGTAGGTAAATACTTCTAAAGAAAAATGAACCTTAGGTTTACCAATCGTGCATACTGTTTGGAGTGTTTGACTTAGATGGCACAAAATATTATCTGTGACAACTTGAATTTACATTTTTTCTAGCTAATGTAGTTTAGCAAACACCCCTTAGGGCCTCAAAACCGTCCAATTATCATGGACACGCAAATTATAACATAATTATTGTAGGTTAACGTGTATATTGTATTGTACCTACCTACGACGTCAAATATAAAATCGTGATTGTATTAGGTATGTGGGTAAGATATTCGATATTCGTCACCCATCCATCGGAAGGTACGGATCCTAAAGATCTTGGTTTTAGTTGACATACAATACAAACTGCAATGGCAGTTGTTATATCTTACGGGTTCGTATGAATCTTTAGTTCGTTTATAGTGTGGGAGACCCATCTTCGGCACGAATGGGCCAACTCGACCAAAGTGATACCACGGCCTCACAGAAAACCGCCGTGACACCACGCTTGCATTGTGTTTCATCGTGTGAGTGTTACCGGAGGCCCAATCAACACCCCAGCCCCACCTTTCCCCAATCCCTAAATCCCCAGCAATCCTCAAATTCCTAATGCCAAAAGGCCAGTAACGCACTTGCAACGCCTCTGGTGTTGAGCGACGCCGATTGCTTACCATCAGCTGATCCGTCTGCTCGTTTACCGGCTTATAGCATAAAAAAGAATCAAAATCTTAAAAAAAAACTAATGACGACGACGAGTCAAACCCCTATATGTAGGTATTATACTTAGGTTTTTTTGGCGAAGTCTACCTACCTACTTTTAAATCGTTGTACGATAAATTAAGGAAACTGTGGTTAATATTAATTACATAATTTTATTTAAACCAGTAAAATAATTAATATACTTTTTAAACAATGAGACAATAACTACAATATAATAGATACGAAGAACAAACATATCATGCATAAATATAGGATTAGATAATACCTAAAAAGCAACATGGCGGTCATGGTATTTCTCTTCCGTTTTCAATTTCAACATATTTTGCAAGATATACCTACAAAATTACTTCTTATGTTTGGGGTCACAGGGGTCACAACATGGTGGTGGCGGCGGGGGTTTTTCGCACGGTGGGAGCTGGCAAACTGGAGTTTGAGCACATGGGTCCTCACTCTGCTCTGACTTGCATGGTAGCGGCGGTGCTGGCTGCGAGCCACAAGGCGAAGCTGTAGATGGAGAAGGAGGAGCAAACGGAGGACAAGGTGGAGGAGTCGGACTAATTTCTTTATAGTAACAATGCGCGTCCCACCACCATGTACATCCCGGCGTAGGTGGACATTCAAATAATAACTGCAATGTTTAAAAAGTTATGTTAATGTCGCCGTAATAGGCCGTTCGTCAGAACTCGACGACGCCGACGCTGTGACGATGCACCGCAGCGCAACGTACTAATGGAGCATTGCCCTAAAAGTAGGTACCTTAAAACGCGTTACATGAACGTCGTTTTCAGATCTAGGTACCTTCACATGAAGGTGACGATCTAGTAAAATTTGGTAATTTGTTTTATAAATCTCTACGGCAATTGATATAACGTAGTTACTCAATTGCATAACTATTGTTAATTAAGGTTTTCCTTAACATTTACCTCATTATCTCTTAGACCTTAAAAACACAGAAAGCTGAAAGAAATACCTAAGTACCTAATAGTTAAATTTTGGCATTTTTGCTTACTTTCCGTGTATCCATTTTCTTCCGATCAATTTTTAGTTTACCATCATTGCCCCGTGAACCTTCAGCTATAGGAGCTACTACTGGAGGCTTTACAGATCCCAAAACATCTCTATTAGTATAGTACATGTCAGAATATCTATTTGTTTGCTCTGGTCCACGCGGAACATCTGGTGGAGGGATTGACCTCGGAGCAATTAATGGTGGAAACCTATTATGCGGTACATATTTACGACCTAACAAAAATTCACGTAGCTTTTGAAACCCTGACGACACGTCCCTAAAATCAAACTTGAAGCCAGGTTTGTTTACCATTTGTAATTATTTACATGTAACTATGGAATGACTTGAGGTTATTAAAACTAAGCTTTGTTAGATGACACTGACATAATTACTATACTTAATATACTCTTTGCATAATTATTCCCTTATACTCTTTGATAGTTATTTATTTTGATCATATCCATCAAAAGTTACAGTCAAAAGTAAAATAAATTTTTCATGGTGATTCGGATTGCTTTTTAAGGCAAGGCGAGGGCAAAGATGGTGCAACAAGACAAGAAAATGATCGCAATAAATAAATATAATTTATCTATTTCAATTAAATAGTATAACATTACAGTCATAAAACCAAGGCGTTATACATTATGTATGTTATATTATTTAAGTATGTTATATTATATTGATGTCGTAGTCATACAAATTAGAATATAATGTACTTACTATAAAGTTTTTAATATGATTAAATCTCGGGCAAAGCTAAAAATACTTGTGTTTAGATAACATATAAAACAGCTTATAATTAGTGTTTCTATTTAAAAAAAATGGAACTTTTCCAAAAGAACGTGTCAAAGTCAAAGTCAGCGGACTGTTCAAAATATAGTAATATTTCACAGTGTACCGAAATTACATACCAAGTTGTTGTAAAATTAACTGAAACTTTATTTTGTTTTATTTGGTTTTAATGATCCGCAACGAAGGAATTCAGTATTTATGAAGTTCTAGTCGTTAATATTAATTATTGTAATTTCTGATTAGATTATTTTTTTAGTTGCTAGCTGTCAGTATCCTATTCAAGTTTTTGATCGTGTTCTCAACTCCCGCGTTTTCTCACATCTGTCAAAAGTTCATCGTGTTTTGTTGAGAGTTTTATTTATTGTAATTATTTGTTTGTAAGTGAGTTTTGTGAATACATAATTTAATTAATGTTATAAATAGTGTTATTTAGTGTTTCAAATATGAAGACTAGTAAGTCGCCGGAGAAAACAGAAATAACACCTTCGAAAAAAAAACTGAAGCAAGCCAGACTCCCGTTTAAGCTTATTAGCGATGTATCACCTAAACCAGCGGCTCCTCAAACTAGGAAGCGCAAGCTTTCTGCTTCAGACACGGAGACAGTTACGAAAATAGGTAAAATAAGTAAAGAAAATGACTTAGTTGAAGAAGCCGTGATAATCAGTGACGATGACAGTAGAAATGATGAGAATCCTCCGAAGGAGGATAAATCTATGAATCCTTTTGTAAAACTAGTAGATACAGCATGGAAAAAGAAGCTGCAAAAGTCCAAAAAGAAGAAGGGTGGCAACAAGTCGTCGAAAACTGTAAGTAATGGGTCTGTCGAGGTTGAAGACGCCACTGATAGTGCCGACAACAAAGAAGCCGACTCTGAAATTATGGATGTAGATGAAACTCCTACTGATGTGAATGAACAAACTGACTCAGAAGAAACAGCATCTAATAAAGTTATGACTACATCTTCACCAAAACAACAGACTGCAAAAAAATCTTCACCAAAAGGTCAGGCAGCATCAAAATCTCCAAATTCTTCACCAAGTGGTAAAGCAACATTTAAATCTTCACCAAAAAGCCAGAGGTCAAGCAAATCTCCAGCTAAAGGTCAGGCCAGAACAAAGTCTTCCCCAAAAAGTGAGACCACAACACAATCTTCACCTAAAAAAGAATTGAAATCAAAACCTAATGAGGTTATCATTTTAGAAGATTCAACTAATCCTGATGATACCAAAACTTCAGAGACTGACACTGCAGAAGAAAAAGAAAACAATACTACTGAAAGCCATGATAATGATTTATCTCAAAATTCAGAGGTTAATGACACTTCAACAATTGAACAGGTTTCCGAGGACTCAGAAAAAGCAAATAAAAAATCCCCTTCTAAAAAAGTACCAGCATTAAATCAAATTACCCCCAAACGGAGTGCTCGGAATATAGCGAAAGCTGAACAGAATAATAACTCCAAAGGTTCTCCGAGCAAGCTTAATGAGTCTATGACTTCTGATGGGTCAACTCCGAAGCAGGGTTCAAAGACAAGCAGGAGTTCTTCGGTAACTAACAGTCAAGGAGATGTGTCATTGAATGAATCTGCAACATCAACTAATTTAACACCTAAACAGGTTAGTCATAGTCACTTCTTTAACATGAAAAGTTAGGTGCAAATTGTACTAAACTACTAAATAGTGGAATTTGAAGTTGATTTATGTGTACCATGTATTTTTATATTTATTTTATACAATTACTTTGCCATTACAGATAACTTAACCTAATTCGACATAGTAACTTAAAATATGTTTCCTAAACTATTAACTATGAACTATATTTAACTATAAACTTATTAAAATTTTAACTGCAAACTATATCCTTACACCCTATAGAATGAGTGGTCCTTGTGAACTCGCTCAGTGTACAGTTAAATATGTCTACGACATCAGCCACCGTGTTAAGAGTGCGTAAAGCACGAGTGAGCGGCGCGCGCTCCAGCAGGTTGGTGCGCACCCGCGGCACCACCAGCAGCCCATTATTTATAAATAATTAGAATCTTATTGTTGTCTCATTGTGTTGCTGTTACTTATTAGTAACATTGGTTGCTTTTAATAGCTTTCATGTCATACTAAAAATTGCCACTGAAACTGATTGAAATTAATGACCATTGATTTTCCTTTTTGTGATTCTTCACAGACTTTTTTGTTCTCAACAGAATTCATAATAGATAGACAGTAGTTACTTTTAACCCCTTGAGCATCCTTATGAGTACCCGGTGGAGGCGGTGGATCATAAGAAAAAATGCTCCAAACGTCATATGTGCTCCCGTTGGATCATAAGGAACGCGGACGCTCAACGGGTTAATGTTACATTCATTGACTGTTCTCTTTCTTCTCTTCTTCTTCTCTCTCTTTATTGAAATATGTAGATAATTTTAAGTACTTACTTTAAAATTGAAAAGATATAAAATACATTGAAAATTGATGAAGTAATTACAATTTTTTACCATTACAGTTACAAAAAAGATTGGAATCTGCCAAAAAGAAAGAGGAACGGGAAAAAGAAAAGCAGGAAAGGGAGAAAAAGAGGCAGCAGGAAAAAGAAGAAAGGGCTAAGTTGAAACAAGAGAAGGAAGATCAAAAGAAGAAAGAACGTGAGGAAAAGGAAGAGGCTAAGAGAAAGGAGAAGGAAGAGAAAGAGGAACAGAGAAGAAAGGAGAAAGAAGAAAAGGAAAAACAGAAGGAACTGGAGAAGAGTGAGTATACTTCATTTATTTATTTCATATTTTTTTAATTATAGACAGAAACACGTACTGAAAATCATATTTTATATTTTAAGATTAAATATGAAATAAATAGAATATGTAATATCTAATATACTAAAAGTAAACCAAACAATTTCCAGAAATACGAGAGGAAAAGGAAGAAATGAAACGCAAGGAAAAGGAGGAAAAAGAAGAACAAAGAAAGAAAGAGAAAGAGGCAAGAGAGGAGGAGAGACGCAAAAAGCAAGAGGCATTAGAACTCGAAAAACAAGAACAAGAGTTAAAAAAGAAGAAAGCCGCAGAAGCATTCGTCAACTTCTTTGTACCAAAACAGAAGACGGACAAAGAACAGACAACTGACTCCTGCATCAGCAAAACTAGCATGCTATCAAACTTCATGATCAAAAACGATATGCGTTTAGCTCCTTTAGTAAGAGTTGATATGAGCCAAGATAAAAAAGAAGAATTAGTTAAATTAATTGAAAAACAAACAGTTTCTGAGAAAGGTTTATACCTAAATTGTCTAAAGGATGGAACAAATAAACCCCTGTCTAGTGGGAAGACTTGGCCATTGAGTGATAAAGATGATGATGATGATGTTATGATTGTTGGTAAGTTGATATTCTTATTAAAAGTAAAGTACCTAAAGCCCCATTCACATTTGTCTGACATGATGTCTCGTGACGTTTTTAACGTAGTTTATTGGTCGTACAAGTCATTTTGATTGACGTAATTTTGAACAGAGTCGTTTAATTCGTGCATCCTGCGTCACAACACGTCACGTCATACAAATGTGAATGTGGCTTAAGTTAAGTACGGACTTACAAAATAATGTAGCTGCTGTGTGTGAAAATAAATTTTGCTAGCTGGAGTACTCAAGACGTACTTAATTAAGTATTTCTTCAATGTCGATTTCTTTGTGTCTACAAGACAGTCCCAGTAAAGTTATGCAACTAAGTTCCATGTCAACACACAATACAAATCTTTTGAAAAAAAATCAACAATATTGTTGAACTGATTCTTAGCAAACAGACAATTCAAACAAGACAAACAATTCTTATACAAACTCCTTATTTATCAAATAATACATTCTTTTTCAGAGGATGAATTACCAATGCCAGATGATGCTGGTGAGATCCTTACTTGCGAGCCAGCCCAACGAGAGAAATTGAGACCCAAGTTGCTGAGTTTCCACGAGAATCGACGTCCACCATATTGGGGCACTTGGAGAAAAAAGAGTGCATGTGTCAAACCTCGAAGACCTTTTGGGCAAGATGAGGTTGGTACTTCTTCTCTTCTACATAACTTGTGAGATTATTAATAACTAGCTACTTCCACGCGGTTTCACACGCTCTGCTCAGCTTCTATTAGTCGTAGCGTGATGTTTTAAAGCCTATAGCCATCCTTACTAATATTATAAATCGGAAAGTGAGTTTGTTTGTTTGTTCCGCTTTGACGCCGTAACTACTAAACCGATTGCTTTGAATTCTTGCAGACGTAAAGTTAGAAGTCTGGATTAAATAATAGGGTACTTTTTATCCCGGAAAAATTTGATATGCCCGAGGGAAAACAAAAGTACTGGTAAAGATGTCGCTGTGTGTATTGGTATATGTTACATAGGCTACTTTTATCCTTTTGTGACGCGAGCGAAGCCACGGGTGAAAGCTAGTCCTCGATAAATGCGCTAGCCAACACAAAAAGAATTATTCAAATCTGCGTTGTAGTTACGGAGATTAGCGCGTTCAAACAAAAAAAAAAAACAAACTCTTCCGCTTTATATAATAGTATAGGTAAGATAAGATTAAGCTGGGCATTAAAAAGTGCTTTTTGGTATTGGTTACCAATAAGCACAATTTTGTTTTTGTTTGAACACACAATACTTTTGAATGAATATTTATCTCAGTAATATCCTCACCCTCAACATGCAAATGTTATTTTAATACTTCATGCTCATGCTAAGAGAGAATGCTTCATGCTATTGAATAGTGTACTATTCCCATAGCCAAACAATAACAATGCCTGACAGTAACACCCATACCCTTAAAATATTTTTAGAAACAACTGGACTATGAAGTGGACAGTGATGAGGAATGGGAGGAGGAACAGGAAGGTGAGAGTATCGACGGGAGCGCTGCTGGCAGTGATGATGAACAGGATGCTGATGAATATGAAGTTGATAATGTTGTGTTTGTGCCGCACGGATATCTTAGTGATGAGGTAAAAACCCGTTTATTTGTAAATTGGAAAAGTCTGAATTGGATTTAAAAATTGAACTTATTGAAATGGTTATTTTAAGATTTTTTCAATTTCTTGTTTTAATTTACAGGAAGCAACCATGGATGAAGATGATATGCTCTCCCTGTCTCCAGAAACTCAAAAACAAAGACTGAAACATTTAGAAGACGAATTTGAGTCCGAAATGAAGAAACCAACTGAAAAACTTAAGCCTCGAATGTACGGCTTGCTGTGGGAGACGGCAGATGGCGGGAAACCAGAGAAATGTGTGGATGCTCTGTGGAACTACTTTGGAAAGTTGTCTATGATCATGAACGATCCGACTCCATTGTTACAACCAGCCAGTGAGCCTGAAGAAACAGAGAAAAAGAAGGTCAAAAAGAAGAAGGTTCCAAAAGAACCAACAGAAGGCGAGCCTAAACCGAAAAGCCCTAAAAATGAGAAGAAAAGAAAATCTAAAGCAGATGAAAAGGAAAAAACTCCTAAATCTGAAACAAAAAAGAATGTTCCTGAAGCAAAGAAGAACCAACCCGGTATTAACATGTTTTTAAAAAAGTTAACATCATCATAAATCATATTTTATGTTAATGTTGTAGCTTTGTTTAATGAAAAGTAAGTTTTAAATATCATTGGCTATTGGCTTTACTTATGACTTAATCTCATTTTCTGTAATAATTTAGTAAATACAGTATAAATGACATAGGACAGACGACATTATATTTCAGACATAATTTTTTCAATTACTTTGATATGTATAGATTGTATAGTTTGGATAATTATAGTATTTTGTATTCGATTTATGGAACTCCTATTGTATCTATAAACATGTGAACACAAAATAATTTCTTTTTCCAGTTGTGTTTTTTAATGTGGATGTTTGTGATTCTTATGTGTTGTAGCATGAATAATATTGTAGATACAAAAAGGTTTAAAAAAATTGTGACGCCAGTATTTATCTGTGCCTTAATGAAATGCAAGATTCCTCATTTACCACGTCTGTACCTATTTTACTGATTAGATAATTATTTTTACTATGATGGTACGATCAAATCATAGACTGATACAAGTTCTAAATGATAGTTATTGTAATGTTGAGTGCTGCATATAAATATTTGTATTAAAATGCATTAGCTGTAAATATCAATTAAAATTTCACTAAGTATGGACAATAGCATGTATGTTATAGATATTATCCATTAAAATATTCATTTATAGTACTCATTTATTTTTCTTTAATCAATATTTAAACCTGCCCTCCAATTTCATTATGTTATATTCCCTCAAGAGCGTAGATTCATTAGAAGTGGCTTTATTGAAGAATAGTTATTTCTCTAGATGTGTCGGTATTTTAGTAATCAATAGTAACTAACAAACACATACATCCTCACAAACTTGCGCATTTATTATATTAGTAGAATTATTAGAAGATTAAACACGATTACACGACACGTATTTAATTCAAGGAGCGGGATAAGACCAAAGTTACCGAAACAGATATCTAAGTCAATATTTTTATATTGTGTCTCATTTCATGTATCTCAGTCAAGAAAAACAGTAAATAAAAACTGATATTAATTTTGTTGCGAAATATTAAAAAATATAGGACCGGTATCCAACAGTCGTTCTAAATCATTCAAACTCATTCAATTTATGGATTATTTATTATCTGTATTGTGCTGTCAAAACCATCAAGTGTATCTGTCGCACGAATTGGACGTCGTTTGACAAATTTTAGTTTTCCGATTTTCTTTATCATTTACTGATCACTAATAAGTATTATTTAATTGTTTTTCTTAATGTAATTTCTGCAGTATTTATTATTTTCGTAATCTTTTCTCTTAAGTGGTGGTTATAATGCAGTGACACAGGGAATCTTATAGAATCGTAAGTATGGATTCGAAAATTTTACTTGCTACACCCTTACCTATAATTCACCCTGAGTCACTGTTGTTTTTTATCTAATTTTGGAACACGTATTGGTTTTTTACTTACGTTGCTCAGATATTTACGCTGTATAGCCTTTTTATAAGTAGGTACGTATTACAAGGCAAATACAGCCGAAATTAGTTTCAGTTGCGTATTTTTTTTTTGTTTTGAGACGTAGGACAGATTGAATCGTTTAAAATTGGAAAGTAATCTGCTTATCTTCTCAATTTATTTTGTAATAATACATTACATTTTACATAAAAATCAATGTGCTTAGTAGTTACAAAAATAAAGGTGGTTTATTGTTTATTTGTCTACATCCTATTTCTTGACTCATTGCCATTTACCTGATAAAATCTTCAAACGCCGACCTTTAGCTGAATGTTGGAAAGATATTTATATCATTACACATTTACTTTATTTCTATAAATAATTATTTACTGATATTATCCATCACTAAACAGTGACTAACTAACTTCTTACAGCTGTAGTACAGTGGGTCAGTGTTCAGCCGGTCAACCTGTAGTTTTCTGTCAAATTTATCTATTATATCTTCAATTTTATTGTATCGACATACAGTTGAAAATCCAATGAGTTTTGTCAGATTGAATGGAGTATCTTGATCTGCTGGCCTCTGCAAATACTATATACACAACTCTGTTAACCAACATAACATAACAACACGCCTTTTATCCCCGAGGCACAAAATAGGCAGAGGTGCACATTTCGGCACTTAATGCCACTGTACAATGTAACACCCACTTTTCACTATTTATGTTATGAGTCCCATGTAATAGGGGTGAGCCTATTGCCATATACCGGGCACATTTCCAGACTCCATGCTACTACTGAGATTTTTAAAAACCCAGTAATGCTTTTCCCGACCTGGGAATCGAATCCACCATCCATTGACCACTTGGCCAACAAGGCAGTGTTAACCAACATATTTAAGTAAATTTTGTAATATTTTTTCTTTCTTTTATTGTAGCTACGTTATTGGGGGAGACAAAAGGACATTTCATGGGTTAGAAAAGAGATCACCACCTGTCCAAGATGAGTAAAATGTCAAAGAACAAGTTGAATTTGACCCTGCCACCAGGGTCAATTGACACTGCTCCAGCAGTCACACCATCCAATATGACCCCTCAGCTAAAGTCTGCTACTGCTACTGAGTAAGTATTTATAAGGTTTGTCACCCACTGCTCAGGATCCAAGTTGTGACCGGAGACCACTCTCCACTTACACCATTATAGATCTAATTTCCGATGTTTAGAGTATACTTTTGTATGAACATATGTTCTGGATTTACAAGTTAATTTTATTACAAAGCTGATGAACAGTTTGTTTGTATGTGCTGCTGCTGATCTCCGTACCTATGGAGCCGAATTGATAATTCTTTCATGGTAAAGGTTAATAAATTAACTAAATAAAAGAATTATTACACTGTCACTATGAAACATCACACTGTCACCAATACAAGCTGAATAGCAGGTGAAACTGCACAGGATAAGTTCAAGTTTTTTTTTAAATGTTTTCCTGATACTAGGATTTTCTCCTGTGTCGTGTGTGCATTTACAAACATACAAGTTCACATACACATGACACCCAGACCTGGAACAACAATCTGTGGAACACATAAAGAGTTGTTCCGTGTGGGAATCACACCTGCGACATGTTGGGCCAACCGCGCAGTCGATTTTCGCAGTTATTCATTGGAATACATTAGTTATTAGAATTAAGATTCAAACTGTGTTGCATGATACAATTTGTTACTTATAAGTGCACACAGATTGTTGTTGGTGCCAAGTTCAGTGTGTCATTTGTATTTTTATAATCATTGAGAATAGTATCCTCTTGTTAAGATAAGATTATTTTAAAAGTTTTGTTTTATCTAACGTTTTCAAAAGTATTGTTGTACATATCTATACCTATAGTCAGTTGTTTTCTTTATGGCAAGCCTAAGCAGTTATACAGATACTTTTAACCTCCAGACTGTCGGTATATAAGACACAATAATAGGAAATACATTGTGTTTTTCTTGGATCTGCACATGACGGGTTAAAATATTGGCCAGTTATTACTGTTTATCTGTCAAAACATGTACAGTGGACACTGGACAGTGTAGTAAACCCTCTTATGAAGAGAATGTCTATAGCAGTTATAGACTGTCATAGTTACATTGTCAGAAGCTGTGGACGGTGAATGATTACAATAGTACTACAACTATTATGGTGAACATAATTGTGTTTTTGCTCATCTTCCCACATGTACAAAACATAAGTTGGTATACTTTTTTTTTAAATGTGTCGTGAGTGCGTTTACCTACATTCACATACACATGACATCCAGATCCGGAACAACAATCTGTGGATCACACAAAGAGTTGTTCCCTGCGGTAATTGAAACCGCGACAAGTTGCCCAGCCACCGCTCCAACCGTGCAGTCACTCTGATGGAATCATATCAATACAATCTCAAATCTGGTTACAAAGATGCTCTAATAGTATGTGACCTCTGTTGTAGGCGGCAGGGCTTAGCTGGGAAGTCCAAGACAAGCATTGAGGCTTTGACGGAGAGATTGGAGCAGATTGAAATGGATGACACCCAGAGGCGCAGGATAGAGGTGTTCCTCTGCCAGAAAGAGAAGATCGGAGAGCTTAGTGATGATGACTTTGAAAAGTTGGGAGAATTAGGTAAGATAACTAAACTTGTTCATCAGAATTGTATTGTAATGTTTTTTTTTAATATTACAGATTAATTCTTCACGGACTCTAGGTCCGTGCCCTTGTCATACAATTTTTTAATCTATTGTAATGTTAGATAATGGCTTCATGCGACTTTTGAAGTTATTTATTTACTAGCTTTTACCCGCGGCTTCGCTCGCGTCACAAAAGTATAAAAAGTAGCCTATGTTACATCTACCAATACACACAGCGCCATCTATACCAATACTTTTGTTTTTCCTGGGGAATATCATTTTTTTCCGGGTTAAAAAGTACCCTATTATTTAATCCGGACTACTAACTTTACGTCTGCAAAAATTCAAAGCAATCGGTTGAGTAGTTACGTCGTGAAGGTGGAACAAACAAACAAACAAACAAACTCACTTTCAGATTTATAATATTAGTAAGGACTAGTAAGGATATTAGTAAGGAAGTAAGGATTAGTAAGGATTGTCTTTTAGCAGTTAAAGATTTTTTAATTCAACCATGGTTAAGTCCGGCACACAAAACATCATGTATTAAAGGAAATAAAGGCACAGTAGAATATACTAAGAAATGAGTCAAAGTAAACAGGTTAATTCTTGGAAAGTTAACATTTATTATGGTCACATATTTTAGTTATTGCTCCTATTTGTCATGTACCTAAATACTGAGCCAAGTTAGAAGGTAAACAGGTAGGACAATAAAATAGGAATATGTTATACCTAATTGAATCAATCTTTATTTTAATCAATTTGCATGCCATGACAAGTGGCAAACATGTCTTAAGTGCAACTTTATCTTGTTCATATCCTATATTATATTATATGCACCTGTATGTTGTTTACACATGTTTTTGTGATTATAATTATATGATTTGATTTAGGCAATGCCTTATACGAAAAATCAAATATTAAAATAATTGCCTCGTTGGCAGAGTGGTCGCAAGTGCGACTGCCGGGCAAGGGGTCTCGGGTTCGATTCCCGGGTCGGGAAAAGTATTACTGGGTTTTAAAAAAATCTCAGTAGTAGCACGGAGTCTGGAAATGTGCCCGATATATGGCAATAGGCTCACCCCCTATTACATGGAACTCATAACAAAAATAGTGAAAAGTGGGTGTTACATTGTACAGTGGCATTAAGTGCCGAAATGTGCACCTCTCTACCCCTTCGGGGATAAAAAGGTGTGATGTTATGATTTGATTTACGCAATGTATTATACGAAAAATTTAATATGATAGGCTTTGACTTTGACTGCCAATAAAAAACTGTTGAAGGTAAATCCTCCGACGCCTCCTCTAACGCCGGTCACCGGTGACCCCCATGGCGTTTAAAGTGTTAACTTAATTTTCACAAATCTTCCAGGTCAAGGCAATGGCGGAGTCGTGATGAAAGTCCGCCACAAGTCCACTGGCCTGATTATGGCTCGAAAGTTGATCCATCTGGAAGTAAAGCCAGCCATCAAGAAGCAGATTATACGGGAGCTGAAAGTGCTACATGAATGTAACTTCGCCCACATTGTGGGTTTCTACGGAGCATTCTACAGTGATGGGGAGATCTCGATATGCATGGAGTATATGGATGGTGGCTCTCTAGACCTGATATTAAAGAAGGCTGGAAGGATTCCTGAATCTATTCTAGGTTAGTTTTTTAAACTAATTTATAGTCTGGTTGTAACATTATTATTATTATAAAGTATATGAGTGTCTCGTTGGCCGAGTGGTCGCAAGTGCGACTGTCGGGCAAGGGGTCTCGGGTTCGATTCCCGGGTCGGGCAAAATATTACTGGGTTTTTAAAAATCTCAGTCATCGGAAAATCATCGAATGACTTCTCCCGCCTGGGTGAGGCGGGAGGGAATGTCAGACTCTTACTGACTAAAAACCACCCCGTTCCTTCTTCTGCACTTCGAGCCGTAGCCCCGGTAACCCGTTAGGTTCTCCGCGGCTGGGGGATTTGGGTCTGCGAAGATAGGTGCTTCTATTCAAAAATTTAGATTCGTATGGAAAATACAAGCAGGAAACTCCATAGCAAATAACACAAATTGAACCTTAGAGACATGGCAATAGGTTATCAAAGTCCTTATCACTATCGAATTCTTAATCGGACATTTCTTATGATAATCATACTTACAGTTCAATGACTTCCATAAGTAGACCATTCATTAAATATTATGAGTAATTTGTGCGCATTTTTTATATGTTATATCAATGTTAATGATTATAGTCTAAAGAAGATAGTTTGTTATGGTTTTAAGATAAAAATTTACATAATTATAGAAATGTTATAAAGATAATGATTAATGTTTCTTGATAGTGACTCATGTAATGTGATTATAGCAGACAATACTGGCATTGTTCTTGAATAATCATGCAGTCCTTACTATGTTATCTCATTTGTATAAGTACAGTAGAAGTACAACTGTTAAGAACTCAAGACGCAGGACGTCTACCTACAAAATGCATAGATGAACTAATTTAAGTCGCAGAGATTCATTGATTCCGGTTCTGAAAGCCATTCTAAGCCTATATCCTGCAGTCACGATGCGTCTTTTCTCTCTTATAACTATTAAAATTCCCAATTATAATGTAACAGTTGAGTTTATAGTCTGAAAGTGTTGGAGAGTAGCCTGTCTGGGCTGATAGGGCCACAATAGGCGCGGTACGGCGAAAACTGCTCTAAGGCCAGCGTCTAGCCTTGATTTTCTTGTGTAAGGCTTATAGGGCGGTTAGCAATGAGGCCCTACTTGTGCTCACGGGAGCGCTTCCAGATGATCTTGAGGTGCAGCGATATTCTGCTATGTACTACAATGCGAGACCGCAAACAAAAATGACAAGTGGCACTTGGCCAATAGTATGTTACTGTTATTAAAAAGTTAGGTTTAATGATTGTTTATTTACTCATAAAGAACATGGTTCACTTACAATGAGCTTAAATGACTAATTATAGCTAGGTATACAGAGTTATGATCAAACGGTATTAATAGATATTTTCAAATACAAGTTGTAGACTTTTAACTATGGTAATCCAGTAATCACTACATAGTATAAAACAAAGTCGCTATCCGCCGTCTGTCTGTCCCTATGTATGCTTAGATCTTTAAAACTACGCAACTGATTGTAATGCGTTTTTTTTTAATAAATAGAATGATTCTTGAGGAAGGTTTATACGTATAATACATACATATTGCATCCGTGCGAAGCCGGGTTGGGTCGCTAGTTAAATATAAAAAAAGCTTGTGTTAAGAATACGTAGCACGAATATTTTAAATTAAATTCACTATCTATGTGTTTGTAAAATAAACTGCACTTAGGTACCTATTTACTTGCTATCAAATTTTAATTAAGGTGTTTATATGCTGCATTGTTGCCTGGAACATGTTTTACTTGCAGTTGATAACAAAATGCTGTCTGTAAAACTAATCATGACCTTGTTTTGCCTTGTAGACATAGATAATGTGCTTCCGTAAAACACATTCGGGTTAAGTACCTATTTATATGAATGTTCTTCGATCATACAGAAATACATTAGAGAACATCAAAATGTATTCCCTAAATACATAGAACTGTAATTATTTGACGAGGAATTCGACTAGTTTCAAGCCATGGTAGAGGCTCATACTAGAATAACATCGCTTGTCTCTGGGCGCTGGGCCCGTATCGCAGACTCGAGTACCGAGTAGCAGCGTGACAGTCGCCGCGTCTCCGGTCGCGGAATGATGCTCATGAATTTGAACCTATACCATGGCTTCAAACTAGTCGAGTTCCTCGTCAAATAATTACGAAAGTCGTAAAACATAATAATTAATTTACTATGTCTCACTAAAGTTATAACATAAACATAGAAGTGTTGAAGTTACGTGCATGGTCTAATTCTGTTTTAAATATCTTTTCCACAACTTTAGATTTATAACAATTAATATCTTATGCTTACCTATGACCTATACCAGTGGTTCCCAAAGTTGTTTGGAGTACGACTTTTCTAAATCAAGTTCCCGAATTCAGGACCCACCTTCAGGGAATTGAGCCGTTACCATATATGTAAAACAAAATACAGAACGGTTGGTTAGTGCGTCTTTGTACAGATAAGGCCCACTAAATATTTTGCTTGAGACCCACCAAAGGGTCGCGACCCATAGTTGGGGAAACCCTGACTTATACACCAAACTGAATTTCTGACTCAATGATTAGAATGTCGAAAAATGTAATATTAGATACTTTGTCTGGCTCTGAAATATCGCCCTTCAGTCATTTTACCTGTAGTAATTTATAATCATTATTATCAGCAAGCAGATGTGCACTGCGCAAACTGCAAGACGACTTTTAATAGGTTCAGGTCCAGCACTGCTCCACAACTGCATCGGGTATTACAACACTCCTGGGAAGAGTGGCAAATGTATTAGTATTTATTCCGCCGTCACCACAGGGCCTTATGAACTAAGCTCTAAGCATTAATTAATAAAAATACTGTATACAAACTATTGATGAACAGATTGATTGCACGGTTGGCGTGGTGGCTGGACAACTGGTTCCGTTTTTTGAGTTCCGATTCCCGCTCAGAGCAACTTTTTGTGTAATCCATAAATTGTTGCGGGTGTCATATGTATGTGAAATTGTATGTTTGTATACGCACCCACGACACATAGGAAAATCCTAGTTAGTGTGGGGCAACGTTTTTTTAAAGAAAATATTATTAATATTATTCACTAAACCACAATTTCCTATCTTCCAGGAACAATAACATCAGCGGTGTTGAAGGGTCTCAGCTACCTTCGTGACAAGCACGCCATCATGCATCGTGACGTCAAGCCTTCTAATATCCTCGTGAACAGTAATGGAGAGATCAAGATCTGTGACTTCGGAGTCTCAGGACAGCTTATAGACTCCATGGCCAATTCCTTTGTGGGGACTAGGAGTTATATGTCGGTGAGTTTTGATGAACTCTTCTATTTTATGTACTAGACTTCGAAAAGCAGAGAACATATGAAGTGGTAGTAAACAAATGTTTGTATGTATAGTGTTTGAAAGAAAATACTTTATGTAGCCGCTGTAAGTAATTAGTAGAAACCTATGATTTTCCTTTTTCATTAAACTGTCAAACACCAAGCGGTCACCGGTGACCGCAACCTATTGTTCTTTAATTGTGTCTATAAATACGGTGCTCGACGAGTTAAACTGTTATAGTTATTTTATCTCACGAGCGCGCGTGAGCCATATTTGTGTGCGTATCTCGCAGCAAGCTCATTTATTGGCTTGCCGGCCAAAACTGGGCATTCCCGAGCGTACGCAAACAAAGACAATGTGCGTGTACATTAAAGGAGGCCATACACGCTAGGTTATGCATGATGGTTATAACTGTGCATGCAAAACCGACAAGCATAACCGAGTTTCCGGTTTTGCATGTACATGCACCGATAACTGTACAGTTTAATCACATACACGCTAGGGCTTGCCTGTCGGTTATGCATGCACGGCTAAAACCATCATGCAAAACCTAGCGTATATGGCCTCCTTTACCCACACAAGTATGGCGCACCCGCTTTCGTGAGATGAAACATCTATAATAGTTTCATTAAAAAGGAAAATCATAGGTTCCCACTAACTACTTGCAGTTATAATTACTTTTTACCAATGATGTTGTTAGTCTCATGTAGGCTTACCAAGCGAGCACGTTTTTCATAGAAGTCTGTTCTATTACTGTGAAAATTAGAATGGAAAACAAACTTTTCCCAATTTTCATACCAACTTGAATGGATGCTCTATCAACACACTCGTTAAAATTAGATCATTAAAACAATGTCTCATACATCATACATTAATATTTTTCCGTTAAAAATGAACATAGAAGTACATTCTTCAATATTATTCCTAATTACTGGTTCTTTCTTGCAGCCGGAGCGACTCCAAGGCACACATTATTCGGTCCAGTCCGACATCTGGTCTCTCGGCTTGTCATTGGTGGAGATGGCTATAGGAATGTATCCGATCCCGCCGCCCGATGCTAAGACCTTAGCAGCCATATTCGGCGGGCAGAATGAAGATCACTCGCCCGGACAGGTTGGTGAACTAATTGAACATGTTTGTCTAAGATAGTTCTCTGGAATAAATGAAATATAAAATTCTTTGAGCCATTATTACAACTAGACGACATAAAGGCACTTTCGATACCAATTGTCAAACAGAATAATTGTCTAAAGGTCGTAAACTATTACGTTGTGTTTATTCTTTTTTCTTATGAGAAGTTCCACTGTATTCTTCTCGTTCACAACCTACGCATTCGTCAAATCGTCCTTATTAAGGAGAAAACATCCTGTATCCCATATTATTAAGAAATATATTTAAACATAACTTAATACGATATTTAAAAAATAGAACAAAAACCATAAATAACAAATCTGGGCAAAACCTAAGCTAATAGTAAAATTTTAACAATATATATTTTTGTCTATCTTACAGGCGCCAAACTCTCCCCGTCCGATGGCGATATTCGAGTTGCTGGACTACATAGTGAACGAGCCGCCTCCCAAGCTGCCGGCCGGTATCTTCTCCGACGAGTTCAAAGACTTCGTGGATCGCTGCCTCAAGAAGAACCCTGATGAAAGGGCCGACTTGAAAACGCTGATGGTGAGTAATTATAATAATCGACATGAAGCACCTTGTGACATTCTATTAGCAATAGACTTTGGGACTCCTCTATACAAAAGGGGTACCATATTTCTACGTTTGGCGTTAAATAGAAGACTGTAGATTATCAGGTTTATCAGAGCATTGCTGTCTCAAAATAATGAAATTACTTGAAATAAAATTACACCTATTGCGATGGGTGGTAATGACAACTGGCAAACGATCGCGATATTGTAAATATGTTTATACAGATCTTGTTTGGGACTAATCCGTTTTGAATACCAAAGATTTCATTAACCTTCAAAACTCTTAACTCTACGTCCTAGACTAGTTGACGATGTCGCGGAGAACCTAACGGGTAACCGGGGCTCCGGCTCGACGTGCAGGAGAAGGAACGGGGTGGTTTTTAGTCAGTAAGAGTCTGACACTCCCTCCCGCCTCACCCAGGCGGGAGCAGTCATTCGATGATTTTCCCCCCTAAAAAAAGACTAGTTGACGATTTTCTGACCTTTTTAAATAATTTGAGATGGCCCACGAGACACCAATAGACTAAGAAGATTGTAAAATCATGATTGTTTTTCCATAGAACCACGAGTGGATCCGCAAGGCAGACGCGGAGAAGGTGGACATAGCGGGCTGGGTGTGCAAGACGATGGACCTCATGCCCTCCACGCCTAATTCTAACGTGTCTCCTTTTTCTTCATAAGCTGCAAGAAGTGCATACTTTCATCAGCGAAAAAGGGTTAGATTAACATTTGATAAATATATTTCGTCATGCATGCGCCTGCTTGTATTATTTTACCAATTTCGTGATTTATATTTAGTTTTATTATGTGATCAGTGACAGTAAGTAAAGGTTTCGTATAGTATTTTACTTTGAAATTATATCTTATGTTCTTGTTTCATAAAAATAGTACTTAACATAACATAACATCACGCCTTTTATCCTCGAAGGGGTAGGCAGAGGTGCACATTACACCACTGTGCAATGTAACACCCACTTTTCACTATTTATGTTATGAGTCCCATGTAATAGGGGGTGAGCCTATTGCCATATCCCGGGCACAGTTCCAGACTCCGTGCTACTACTGAGATTTTTTTTAAAAAACCCAGTAATACTTTGCCCGACCCGGGAATCGAACCCGGGACCCCTTACCCGGCAGTCGCAATTGCGACCACTCGGCCAACGAGGCAGTCTTATTTACAGAATTTAAATTAAAAATAGTACTTATTTACAGAATTTACTGACTGCCTCGTTGGCCGAGTGGTCGCAAGTGCGACTGCCGGGGAAGGGGTCTCGGGTTCGATTTCCGGGTAGGGCAAAGTATTACTGGGTTTTTTAAAAAAATCTCAGTAGTAGCACGAAGTTTGGAATTGTGCCCGGTATATGGCATTAGGCTCACCCCCTATTACATGGGACTCATAACATAAATAGTGAAAAGTGGGTGTTACATTGTACAGTGGTATAATGTGCACCTCTGCCTACCCCTTCGGGGATAAAAGCGTGATGTTATGTATTATTTACAGAATTTATTCCTATTAAAATGTTAATGTATTGATTTTCTTTATCATAGTAATCTTTCCTTTCTTCCGTCTACTCTTATAAGCATTCAATGACAACCAATTTTCTCTTAGCATTTCTTTATTACCTTCACAATATAATAACAATATTATTTTCCAGGTCAAAACATTTCCCAAGAGAAAGCGGGCGACACAATCACCGAAGACGCTGGCGGTGAAGAATAGCTGCCCTGAGAACACGCGATGACAGAAAACAGTGTGTCAACTCTAGATACCATTGTCCAGTACCAGAACGAGCCACAGCCAGGCGAACACTCCACATCATTGAGACGTGATCCTACATCCTTGATACAATTTAAAACTTAATTATTGACGTCACTTCTCAACATGGAGTAGGTAACACATGAAGTACGAATCTCCTTAGCAAAGAGTTCAAAATCTATGGCGTCGTGTCTCTTTTAACGTAACGGTGATCTCTGATCGCGCAGATGTTACCGCATGTGATACTCCATGTGTACCTACTCTGTGACTATAACATCGTAGGTCGTCAATACTTCTATTACGCTACTGGAATTCACATCCAGGGTTAGAAAAAGTAATTCAGATTTATCCTACATATCAGGGTCATCACGTCTCATATCAAATGTTTCATTAATACATTTAGTAAAATTCTTCGGGAGACATCCTGTCATCGAATCGAAATTCAAAATTAATAATTTAATTTATAGAATTGGCTAAAATTTAAGGTAAAATCTGTAGGGAATTATTGAAAACAATGTGTTACGCTATCGCTATGAAGCTGCTTGAGTAGTCGACGACACAGTCAGCCTTCTATCGACGACACATGTCGATTAGGAAACAAATCGAATAAAAGTATCGTTAACGTAATCGAATCAAAGGTGTAACTGTTTCATCGGCTACGCATCGAAGGAGTTTGACTTTCCTTTTCATATACAGGCTATATGATTACGAGAAAGTTGATAAATAAAGGTAATGTGTGTACTGTAACCAATAGCACGGTGTCTGATGATAGATAGGGGTATAATACTAAAACATAGTGCATTCGTGGACGAACTAATCGAGGTGTTATAACAAAAAACGACAACTAATCGATAAATGGTCAAGTAGAGTTGATTTAACTAGTCGCAAGTCGAAAAAAATGTTAGTAGTGTTTTGACATATTTTTCTTTGCTGAAAGTGCGTAATTCATGTCAGCTGGTACCTGTTATTTGAATAGAATTCGGATGCGTTTCATCGACGTGTCCGGAGCGTTGGAATACTCAAACGGCCGCGGCTGCGCGGGCGTGGGACTGTTCCAAAACTCAAACGTATCATCTTATAATCTGTAAAATAGAATGCATTTTTTAGAGATTACACGAAAGATATTAAGAAAAAAAACGAAAAAATAAAAAATCGTAGGTATGTTTTTTATATAATTGACGTGATGCACTTTTCCCGTTTGGTTTGTTGTGTTATTTGCTTCGTTTTAGTATGTCCGCCATTTATTTACCCGCCCTGTCCCGAGCACCGAGTGTAGATAGACACAGCTACTCACTAATGTAATGTGTTTGCGCTGTTGAATGTATGAGTGAATGATATAGTTCATTCTGTATTTGACAGATTCATTTAGTTCGATCGATTATTCGTTAGGTTGTAGTTATTGAATTTCGATAGATTTGAGCTTGCATTTGCGCTCGTAAGCTTCATTATTTAACATTGTTTTTATTTCCCAGCGTATGTACACCTCCTTCGCTTTGTAATCGCTATTATTTGCCCGGTCTTCCTTTAGTATTTAGAGAGTAATGTGATTTTAAGATATGTATTGTGTGTTTCAGGGTCTGCGAAGTGTTTTGCCTTTTATTGTACCCAGCATTTAATAATTTTATTATTCTCATTAATTAGATAATTTGACGGTGCTTTTATGTTATCACTGATGTAAGTGAACATATTTAAAGAAAAATGTAAAAAAAAAAAAAATATTTTCCTTTTTATAAATGGTCTACTCGTGATTGGTAAGTAGGTTTACTGATTATTTTCAAAAAAAAGTTTGTATTCATTTGTATGTAGTCCTCGTGTTAGGTTAGGTTGATCGTATATTATAGGTATTGTATTCCAAAATTATGTTACCTATAATTAATTTACAATGTGGACAATTAGAATGACGAGACCTCATTCTTAAATGAAGTAATGTCAATTACACGAATGCGTTTATGTGTCCAACGCGAACGTATCCAATTCCCAAGTCGTAATAGTAAAATGTAGGAACGACGTATAATTTTGTAGTCAGTTTATTTAATAAAGTAAATAGTTGACTCATTTCGCTATTATGTTTGTTTAGGATTGAGGTTTCCCTTACTGTATTAATATTTTACTGTATTGTGAAAAGCGTGGGTCTAATCCACTCCCAAATATATCTTTCAGTATTTTAATGTGAAAATGTAAGCCTTCCAAAGACGAAAATCCCATAATTATGAAGCTACTACCTACTGTGTAGAAATAGAAAATAATAAAAAATAGACGAACAAAATATAAAAAAAGAAATTACGTTTACTTTTTTATCGATGAAATATCAACAGCCTCAGTAATCGAAACACCAATATCGATTTAAAATATAAGTGATATTTTTAGACTTATCGATTTAATAGTTGAAACTATTTTTTTATTTTATTTATTTGACAAAACGTTTCCTTATCGAAGACGCTTTTATTAGTCATTTTTATATATATTTTTTATTTCGAGGCACATTGTAAAAGTACTCGTTTTCAAAAATCACAATCGCAATCGATCTCTAAGGTCTAAGAATTGTTTGTAGAAGTGATTATCATGAAAATCGATTGTCTATTCGTGATAATCGATTTTCTGATAACGCCCCCTTTGAAATTTCTGCTCGGTATAATCATATCGTAAATGAATCCATGAATGTATATCCAGTTTATTTATGTAAGCTTCTTCGTAAGATACGTCTGTAGTTAGGTACGTATGTACAATTAAATGTTAATTAAAATGTATTGGTTTTTTCATTTATTTCCCGTTCAGAATATTTTAAAAAGTACCTTAAGTTAATTAAGATAGAGGCGTAACTTGAGTGGTGAAATGTTACATTAGGTTTATTGGGCTCATTTACTTAGTACGCCTCGTTAGTACAAAGGCGTGACGATTTATCTGGATTTCCATTTTCAATAGTTAAGTGGCAATTTTTGTACAGTATGCTCAAGTCTGCACTATCCACAACACCACCTTGTCACATTTTGCCTTATCCAGCTATCGACCAAGATTGAAGCGAATCAAGAAGTAGTTTAATATATTTTGTAATAGACTTTGAATAGTGAGCGCGAAGGCGGACTAAGTAAATTCTCATTCAGTGACGGATTAATGCAACACGGGGGCCGCCACGGGGCCCGTAGCAAATTATTTTAGGGGCCCACGACCTTAATTAGGGTTTTTAAAGCATATAGTGGAATAGCAGGCTTCTGAAAAAACTGATAAACGCAATTTTCAACTAATCAGTATAATAAGCGCCATTTTAATTGTTAGAAGCGTGGATAAACTCTTTTCATTTAGGAAGGGTTGGTGTTGAGTTTTGACGTTTGGTATAAGATATTTTAAGTTACTAGTGCTGTAGTGATAGTAAAATCGTATGGTTAAATATCGATTGGATTACCTTAGTCATGTGCTCAAAATTTTCTAGGGTGCATAACCATGCAGGGCCCACGCGGGGCCCGCAGCAAATACGGTGGTAAATCCGCCACTGCCCCCAGTCAGTTTACATTAAAATGAAATATGCCAAGTTGAATTGCAAAGAGGTTACGGAGGGCTTGCCCTCTCATTATAAATGTGCGTAAATATTGTTTCTACAGAGCTCTTTTCGAACCTCATTAAGAAGCCATTATGTCTTTCGATAATCCAAACGAGTTTTTACTTGAAATGTCAAGTAATCTGTTGAGAATATTGTTTCATTCATTCAGTACGATGTCTATAAATAAATACGGAATTGCTTATTGATTTTGAGTAGGCACTTTAGGTTTATTTTTGTCGATAGTTTTGGTAATTGATGAGGTTATTGGATATGTGTCTAATTGGGAGTGCTGGTTTGAGATGTATCTTTTTTTTTTGATTGGGAATACTCATCAAATGACTTCTCCCGCCCAGGTCAGGGCAAAAGGGAGTGTCAGACTCTTACTGACT